AGTCACTGGACTTCCTGAACAATTTCAATAAGAAGACTGGGATGGATTCCACCTAAGCTACATGCTTCTTTTTTTGGAGGCTGCATATCTTAGAGGTAAAAGGCATGAGCCAGACTGCTGGGTTCTTCCTGGTTTTGTCATTTATAATTTGATCTCAGTCAAGTTGCTTATCTTCTTTATGGCTCTTTTTTCTCATCTATAAAATAGGAATAATAATAGTTCTTACTTCACTAGGTAATTGAGGGTATATATTTTATACATGTATGTAAATATAATGTATATAAAACATATTTTTAGTATATATGTATGTATAAAACTATTTCTTTGAGCTACACATATATAGCAATACATGTATGTATTTCTTTGAACAGTGATTGGCAAACCTAAGTACTATACAAGTGTTTGCTGTTACTATCAGGCTACATAAGAAAAAAAAGGCAATTAAATACTCCAGAAAATGACACAAGACACACAGGATCTAAATATGTGAAGATCTAACTAATACATGACATTACTTTTGAGTAACTGATGAAGAATAAGAAAAGAGAGCCTATTTTTTTTTTACCTTGTGTCCATTGAGATGTAACATAATCTTAACCCATTACTTTGTTCTATAATGAATGGCTATTTACAATGTCGTAACAACATAAATGCTCAATAGAATTTTTAAATTTTAGAATGAACTTATAGACAAAACATAAGAGCTTAATCAGAGTTGCAAACAATATAATCATTGATCTCAAAATTGTAAAAGTAAACATATGTTTGACCTATGGAAAGAGGTATGGAGAAAATAAGACTGCTAAGATTCACCTTATATAAAGGTGAATCAAGAGTTAATGATTAAAGTTAATAGAAAAACATTTTAGATATATTATTTTAAGGTACAAAAGTTAAAATAGAAGCAAAAAAGTAGTTACCTGGTACAGAAGAAGGAGAGAAGTGAGATATTAAGCAGTGTAACTAAGCTAATTCAAATCTCTTTTAGTGAGTCTTCAGTATTTAATGTTTAAAGTTGATAAATAAAAAAACAGTAGTATAAGCTCATTCTTTAGAACTATAAAGTTATTCATAAGAGGAATTGAAACCTAAAAAGGCTGTACATGGTTGGCACAGAAAAAAAATGGAGCAAAAAGCCTAGAAGGATTTTGTGTTCTTATTAGTCTTGCTGTATTATTTATTTTTTAATATATGCATACTTTAATTTGTATTTTTAATTAAAATGTATGTTTTATATAGGATGCTAGTAAATTTATTATGATAAGTGAACTTAATATGATATTATAATATTTCTTGGGAGATTTTTATTACACATGAGCCCAAATAAACCATGTGGTTAAGGACAAAATTAATATTCTGGACAGTGGATCCTGTCAGTATTTTTTAAAATTATAAAAAGCAGAAATATGTAAGAAAATTATATAATGTTATTAATTATAGTCCAAAGTATGTATTTATGTTTCATTATCCATACTGGCAAGGTTAATAATAAACATATTGATATCTAAGAGACTCTCTTAAATGATGTTTTTTTGCTGATTCTCTGAACTAATTTCTTTCTCTAGTCTCCTAGATAAAACCTGCTGAATGATATCCAACGCATGCTGAATGCTCAAGGCTAGTCAACTACTTTCAGTATGTCCATGAGCCTCAGCTCAATCAATTATCAAGATTCAGTAGTGTTGTTATTGTAATTATATAGTTTAAATAACTATAGCATTCTCAAAAATGGTCTTGGCAAAACATCAAAAGATTAACAAATAGATGTATATTTTCATATTTTAAATTTAAAAAATATTTAACTTATGCATGTATAGTTTATGATGCTCTATCTTAATCAACTTTATAACTGCTAGACCTCATAATATTCAATAAATAATTTTATTGTGCTGACTGTGTAACAAATAATATATTATTTTTTCTATTATTTCCATATGTAAAGTTTTCCATAACATTTTTATCAAAGATAAAATCACTTTAAAATCTTATGCTCTTGAATCCTAACATTCATTTGATTTTGGCATTGGTAGAAGCATATATAAAATCATTTGGGTTAGTCTGAATTGCTATTAAGTAATTATAAATATACAAATTAAACCTACCTCATCTATATCCTTAAGAAAGAGCAAAGGTCTATAAGATCTTGATTTTAGATATTCTTCTACTGGTTCTGAAGAAACAAACCAAATACAAATGATATTTCTATACTATTAGACCACTTTTAATTTAATATTGCAGATTGCAATATAACAATATTGCAATATAACAATATTGCAGATTGTTATAGTAGCCTGAGTTAAGAGAAAAATTGGTACCAAGAAGTGGGATACTGCTGAAACTAATACCTAAAAATGTGGAAGTGGCTTTGGAACTGGGTAATGGATACAGGAAAAAAGTTTTGAAGTGCATGCTAGAAAAAGCCAGTATGGCCATGAAGGGATTTTAAAGGCAATTCTGGTGAGAACTAAGAAAGAAAGAGGGGAGCTGTAGAGAAAACATTCATCTTCTTAGAGAATACATAAATAATCATGTGCAGAAATGTTGGTAGAAATGTGGATGGGCAAGGCCATTCTGATGAGGTCTGGGACTGAAATGAGGAACATGCTATCAGACAATGGAGAAAAGGCTATCTTTGTTATGAAGTAACAAAGAACTTGGCTGAATTGTGTTTGTGTTTTAGCGTTTTGTGGAAGGTAGAACTTGTGAGCAATGAAATTGAATAGTTAACTAAGATTTCTAAGCAAAGTATTGAAGGAGCAGCTTGGTCTCTCCTTACTGATTGTAGTAAAATGTGAGAAGAGTGAAATGGATTGAAGACAAAATTGCTAAGCAAAAAAGAACCAGAACTCAAAAATTTGGAAAATTCTCAGTTTGTCCATATTACAAAAAAATGAGAAAGTATGTTCAAAAGAAAACACTGAGGGTAGTAGAGACTGGCCGTTGGAAAGGGGATTGGTTTTGGTGTGAACCACAGACCTAGTCAGCCACCCAGCAGAGACACTGCCAGTTTGAATTGAAGTGGATGGAAACGGGACAAAATGAAGGACTACTGGACTTCTTAGGTTTCACAGGATGGGACCATAGACCTATTTGTTGCAAACACGTGCTGTTCTTCAAGACAAGGGAAGAATGACTGTGAAGGCAATTTCCAGACAATCAGGGCCACCTCTTCAGTTTCAAAAGTGGAGGCCATTTTCTTAGTTGCTACAGGCCTGATAGCTTCCACCCAAAGCCTTAGGGTGGGCAGCCTGAAGCCCTGGGATATGACTCTTGCTGGGCAAAGCTGTAGAAATGGGATCCCTGCCTAACAGAGTTCTGGGATGGGGGGGATTGTGACTCTACCCTGCAGAGCTGTGGTGGCAGGACCACAGCCCCAGTGGGTCCCGAAGAGAACATCAAGCCAAAGAGAATTAGCCTTGAGCCTTAAAATCCCATGAAGTTTGCCTTACTAGGTTTTAGGCTTCGTTGAGACCCATCACCCCTTACTTTGTTTCTATTTCTCTATTTTAAAATGGGAACGTCTACCCTATGTCTGACCCATCTTTGTATTTTGGAAGCACATCATTTGCTTGGTTTTACAGGTTTACAGCTGTAGACAAATTTTGCTTCAGGATGGAGACTCACCCTGAGTCTCACCTACATTTGATTTAGATGATATCTAGATGAGACTTTGGAGTTTAGTGATAATATAAAACTCAGTATGGGAATAAAATAATTACAGTGTTCTAAGATGCTTTTATCATCTAGAAGGAGGTTAACATTAGATTTTGAAGGGAGCATATTGTAATTCCTAGTGTAATAAAGAAAAAGATTATGTCATTTCCAAATTACTAAAGGAGAAAAGTTTAAAATTTTTTAAATTAAATCTTAAAGAAGACATGAGACAGGAGAAAAAGAAGCATACAGTCAATAGGAAAGATAAGAAGTACAAAATAAGATGGCAAATTTAAATCCAAAGATTTTGCTAATTATATTAAGTATAAATGGACTAAATGCTCCATTCAAAGACAAAGATTACCAGAATAGATTTTAAAATCTAGCAAATTGATGTTTATAAGAGATAAATGTAGATCATACTGTCATAGAAAGGTGGTAATAAAATAATGGAGAAAGATATACCATACAAATGTTAGCCAAAAGAAAGCCATGTAACTACTGTAATATTGGATAAGATGAAAATCATTTTAAAATGAAAAGGGTTAGATTCACTAGATATATAATAATTGTAAAATGTTATGCAATTAGCAATGTGACCTAAACTATATTAAAAATATGTAAAGCAAAAATATATAAAGCAAAAATACAATTCTACAAGTAAGATAGTAAGTTTAAAATTTCTCAGTAATTGACAGAACAAGCAAGCAGAAAAATGAGTAAGGATATAGAAGAGTTAAAAAATGCAATGTACAAATTTGTCCTGAAAGATACATGTCTGTCTGTCTGTCTATCTATCTATCTATCTATCTATCTATCTGTCTGTCTATCTATATAGATATAGATATAAAACACTGCACTGAACAACTGCAGAATTTACATTATTTTGAAGTACACATGGAATATTTATAATGATTGACCATGTAATGGGTAATAGTGCAAGTGTTAATTACATGACTGAAAAGTTAAGATTCTTAAGCAAGATGTCTATACTTGATTGATTAAAAAAAAAACAATAACAAGGGAACTCAGGGTTAAACTGAAAGGAAACTCAGAGATTTTCTTTCTAGAAAAATAAATAAACATACAAATATATTCCCAGTTTTTGAATTATATAAATTATCTATTCTGATATTTAACATCTCTTCCTCTTAAGAAATTATTTTTTACAGCTCACTAAAACTTTTCACACTGCAGTTATGACCCATATACTCTCAAGCAAATGCTTTCAACAGAGACATCAATTTATCAAGAAACTTTAAAATACGAATTAACAAATACTAAAGTATATAATAACACTCATTAATAAATCAAAGGAGAAATAAATACATTACACAAAGCATTACCTATTGCTTTGCCCTCTTGATTTTTTATATTTGTTGACACAAAGTGTGGTCTTAAATTAAATTTTGTAAAATTACTCTTAGTAGGTTGAGGCTTATTTTCACAGGAGACATACCTGGAAAAAATAAAATTAATGCAATTAAAATAATCAGATAATTTATAAAGCAATCTAAAAAATAAATTTGGAAAAATGTGTTGAAGTCCCATTTATAAAAATTTGGATGTTGTTTTATTGATATAGTACAAAATGTAAAAGATTGGGACCAATTAAGCAGGAGCTGAAAATATTAGTGATATTTATTTGAAGTAGAGAGACAGGAAACTGCTGTTATCATAAAATTGAAAGTGCCTCAGGAAACTATTGTTCAGGAGCTAATTAACCCTTTTAGAAAAATGTGCTGGAAAATTGTTAAATGAGATACTGGGGACATTGCCAGACTTGAGTCAAAGTGGTGGGGCATGGAGTTAGGATCAGCCCAGATACCAGATCACAGCGTTTATTTACTGTAAACAGAAATTTTTTTTCATAGAATTTTTTAACTGACTATTGATGGTATGTAAGAAAGTTAATGGTATATAATTTGTGCTATTTCTGATCTCTAAATGCTTATGATTTTGTCCTCAGACCTCAGACACTCACCTGTACTTGATATCACCCAGTCCCACACCTTTAAATATTACCTACAGGCTGATGTCCCCAGATGCATAGTCTAGACCCCAAACTCTTCCCTGAGCTCCAAATTTATATTTCCAACTGCTGCATGACTTCTGCATTTAGATATGCTACAGCCACCTAAAACTTAACATATTCAAAACCAAATTCTTGCTTTCACCTCCTTCCCAATCTGTTCCTTACAGGCTTCCCCGTTTCCATTCAACCAGTGACTTAGGCCCAAAACTCTGCAGTCATCTTTGATTTCTTTCTCTCAGTCTCCATTCCCAATCTGTTAGCAAATCTCACTAGATCTTTCTTTGAAATACATTCCAAATCCAACCACTTCTTTCCTTATTACTTCCACTCTAGTTGAAGATCCCTCATCTCTTGTCTGAACTACTATATGCCTCTAACCTTCTGTCTGCTCTTTGAGTTATCACTCTTGTCCCCAGCAACCATGGAGACACCTGTAAAATATAATTGCGATTGCCATTTCCCTTCCATTGTTTCCTGTCAAACTGAAATAAAATTTAAAGTTCTCACTGGAAGACAGAAAAATTTCCCCCAAATCTCATATTTATAAGTAAAGAAATTTCCATTGAATGTCCCTCCAGGCCTCTCTCTGTGCACTCCCATTCACCCCTCACCTCCACGTGGAGGCACAGTGAATTTTCCAGCTGTATGGTTGAAGAAAAGGAACTTAAGCTCCAACTTATGGACCTTTGTCTTTGCTCTTCCCTCTGCCCGTAATATTCTTCCCCCAGGTATTTACAAGTCTAACTCCCTTCAGTCATAGAGAAATCAGTGTCTGTTGTTGTTCTGAGTGCCTACTATAGGGGCAGTTTTAAACTCTTCACGTATATTAATCCATTTAACTCACACAACTCTATGGGTTACATATTATTATCCCCACTGTAAAAGATGATGAGACTGAAGCACAAAAAGGTTATATAATTTGTCCAAGGTCACAGCTACTAGGAAGCAAAGTTAGGATATAAACCTGCAACTGGTCTATAAATGCCATCTTCTTAATCTCTATGCCAGGCTATTGTCACACAGAATTTAAGACATGTGTTGAACTAAAGGAAGAAGGAATTTAACCAATTACATTACACTGTATGCTGCAACTGCATTCTCTACCCATATTTAATTATGTTTCCTGTGTGTAAGTTCATCCTTCTGTCATAAAAATGTTTCTAAAAGGAATATTTTGACCAGTATCAGTGTGAATATATTTTTTAGGAAAAAATTCTCCTAATGAGAAGAGTCTATTAAGTCCAAATATCTTCTTGCCTCTTATTTTCTATTTCTTACTACTTTATATATTATAAATTTGCCAGTTTCACATGACAATTCAGTATTGAATGCTCAACTAATAAAGAAATCACTTCATCTCTCTTTGAAAATTTTTTGTCTTTCTTTTTTAAAAAATATGTTAAATCACAGGAAATTTTAAAAGAGTTTATTTATTTATTTTTAGAGAAAGGAGAAGGGAGAGAAACATCAATGTGTGGTTGCTCTCACGTACCCCCTGCTGGGGACCTGGCCTGCAACCCAGGCATGTGCCCTGACTGGGCATTGAACTGGCGACCATTTGGTTTGCAGGCCTCGCTCAATGCACTGAGCCACACCAGCCAGGGAAATTGTTGGAGGAAATAAACAAGAGGACATGACTGCTGGTTGACAGTTGAGTTGGACCCAGGCAATCGAAGGCTCCTTACCTCCTTCTCTGTCCTTGGAATGTACACTCTGCCTACTGTTCCCACAGTGGGAACTGTTTCAAGGACATAGCCTTGAGAAAGTAAGGCATCACTGATGCTGTCTGGACTGAATCCAGTTAAGGTCTCTATATAAACTTTTAAGATTCTGTTGGATGAATGTAGAGATCTATTCATCTTGTAATGCCTAAGACAAGCACTGTATGCAAGTTCCCTTGCCTATTAAACTGCTACCTATCCACAAAAAACATATATATATATAATTGATTATGCTATTGCAGTTCTCCTAATTTTTCCCCCTTTGCCCTCCTTCACCCAGTACACCCCTATTCCCCCCAGCAATCTCCCCTCCTTAGTTCATGTCCATGGCTCATGCATATAAGTTCTTTGGCTATACCATTTCCTATATTATTCTTAATATCCCCCTGTCTATTCTGCACCTACCAATTTGTATTTCTTTATCCCTCTTCCTTTCCCCTTATTCTCTCCCTTCTCCCTCCCAGCTGGTAACTCTTCAAATGATCTCCATATCTATGATTCTGTTCCTGTTCTGCTTGTATGCTTAGTGTAGATAAGTATGCTGAGTTCCCTTCTATGGGAACTCAGCTGATAGTTATCTTCAGCTGAGTTCCCATAAGACTATCAGCTGATTTCTCAAAAGAAACTTTGCAGGCTAGAAGGGACTGGCAAGAAGTATCCAAAGTGATGAAAAGCAAGGACCTACAACCAAGATTATTCTATCTAGCAAAGCTATCATTTAGAATGGAAGGGCAGATAAAGTGCCTCCCAGTCCAGGTAAAACTAAAGGAATTCAGATAACTGTGTAGGTAACTATCTGCTTTTCTCTTGCTGCTTTTAAGATTCTATCTCTAACCAGTGGCATTTTAATTATGATGTGTCTTGTCATGTTCCTCTTGGTGTCCATTTGTTTGGGATTCTCTGTTCTTCCTGGACTTGTATGTCTATTTCATTCACCAAATTGGGGAAGCTTTCCTTTATTATTTTTTTCAAATAAGTTTTCAATTTCTTGCTCTTTCTCTTCTCCTTCCAGCACCCCTATGATTTGAATGTTCATATATTTGAAGTTGTTCCAGAGGCTCCTTAGCCTATCCTTGTTTTTTTGGATTCTTTTTTCTTCTTACTGTGCTGGTTGAATGTTTAGTTTTTGTTATGTCCTAAATCATTGATTTGATTCTTAATTTCATCCCCCTCACTGTTAGTTTTTTGTAAATTTTTCTTTATTTCACTTGGTGTAAACTTCATTTCTGCCTGGGTTTTTAAAATGCTGTTGAAGTACTCAATGAGTTTCTTAAGCATTCTAATAACCAGTGTTTTGAACTCTGCAACTGATAGATTGTTTATCTCCATTTTGTTTAGTTCTTTTTCTGGAGTTTTGTTCTGTTCTTTCATTTGGGGCATATTTCTTTGTCTCCTCACTTTGCAGCCTCCCTGTGTTTGTTTCTATGTATTAGGTAGAGCTGCTTTGACTTTCTATCTTGGTAGCATGGCCTATTATAGAAAAGCACACCAGTAAGTTGGAGCCTTAGATAATCGCTGGGGCAGGGAAAGCCATGTGAACCAGGTTGATGGAGTCTCTAATATGGGGTCACTGCTCTGTGTCACTGTGTGGGAGAGGGCTCAGAAAAGGGATAATAGCCACTGCCTGGCCTCTGGAGTTTTGTCTAGGAGGAAGCTGTCCCCTGGCACTCACCCTGATGCCAGACACTTCAGTTTTTCTCTGTATGCCACTGGTGCCCTTCCAACTGCTGCCCTGGTGCTGGGGCCCAGAAGGAGTAAGTCTGCATATGTCCTAAGTCCACTGTGGGCCCTTTAAGAGGAGACACCTGAGAATACTGCAGTTTCTTCTGCCACCCCCTACCCCACTGGTTTTTACAGCCAGAAAACCAGTTGTGGGGACTTTTCTTCCTGGCAATGGTACCCTGGGCTGAGTGGTCTGGTGTGGGGCTGGGATCCCTTCCTCCAGAGGTATACCTCCTGATTTTTATCCACCACATGTGGATGTGGGGCCTGCCCATTCCACACCTCCACATCCCTGCATCCCTCCCCCTACCTCCCAGCCAACCAGTTTATTAATGCGACTTCTTTAATTCCTTGATTGTCGGACTTTAATACAGTTTGATTTTTGACAATTCAGGGTGATTGCTATTTTGTAGCTTAGTTGTAATTTTTGCTGTGGCTGTGCAAAGAAGTGAGCCATGTTTACCCATGCCTCTATCTTGACCAGAAGCCTAAAATTTTTTTTATTACAGGTAATTTTTTAAAGGAACTTTTATTAAAGAGTATGCCCCTTTTGTAAAAGATCCAATTATAAGAAGTTGCAGAGAAGAGTAGGTTTGGTGTTTTTTGAGAAATATTAAAACTGTGTGCAAGTTAAAAGCAAAGGACTGAGAGAGATTTTTGAATGATTATAAAACTCTCTGCTTATCAGAAAAGTAATCCTAGGAGGATATTTCTAGGTAATAGAGGCTATCACCTTTATCAGTTATCATTTATCCAAGAAAAGTGCAGACATTCAGAGCTAATAATGACACAGAAAAGATGTCTCTGGGAGTCACTGACCAGGAATTTTAATGGTTTTCAATCCTATCTTTATATAAGAATCATCTGGGAAACCTTAAAAATAGTAATGCCTAGGCTGCACTCCAAACCAATTAAAGTAGAATCCAATTATTTTAAAGCTCCCTGGGTAATAGTAATGTGAAGCTGAGGTAGAAATTACTACTCTGAAAGCAAAGCTCAGCTACAAATAAACTTGGGCAGGTTTCATCCATCAGTTCCAGGTTGAGTGTTGCTATGATGTTCAGCAAGCTAAGGAAAGGAATGGAACAGATGTTGGTATTAGGCAGCATGATGACAGTGGGACATAAGGTACAGCAGTGCCTCACAGGGTGGCACCAGGAGCAGCAGCATCAGCATTACCTGGAAACTTACTAAACATGCAAATTATAAGACCCCTGCCAAGACCTACTGAATCAAAAACTCAGAAAGTGGTGTGAATTAGATTGACATCTTTGTTCAGTGTTTCAGTGAGGTTTTGTGAGCACTGATGGAGACTTGTATCTTAGTTATAATTAAAATGGTCTGTAAGTCCAGGAGCTCCATCTCAAGATTTGGAGGAACTGAATCTATACAGTTAAACTGATGTAACCATAACCAGCATATTATTGGTGATAGGAAGATAGAAACTTTCTGCCTTATGCTTTGTTATTTAAGCAATCATTCTGTTATGACTAGAAAAGGACTCACTGCAAGATGAGTTGCTTCCTGGAAGAGGCAGTTTCTGTATATAATATGAATTTAGTAAAAGCTCAGGTTTTCTGGGGAGCCCTCATAATTTTTAACAACCTCTTTTGCTGTTCAATAATATTTCTAAAATTCAAATATGAATATGCATCACCCTGTTTAAACCCTTTGGTAGCCCCATACTGGTGTAGGAGATTGTCCAAAGTTCTTTCCTTGCCTTTGGTAATCTGGCCTTTACTTACCTCTTTAGCTTCCCTTCTTTAGGCCCCTCTCCAGTCTCTAACCCATATTGCATTCAAGTCCAGTGACACTGAACTACTGTTGGTGCCTCAAATTAACCAGGTTTTCCTTTGCTTCTCTCTGGCCCACTGTTCATATTATTGCCTTGGCCTGGAACTCATTTTCCTCTTTTGAATCTGTTGCCTCTTCACTAACTCCCTAGGTCTCACCTGAGCTGCCATTCCCTCCAGAAAACTTTTGCAGATCCTCACATTAGGAATCTCTCTGTAGCAACTGGTGTTTGCCTATTCACTTATCTGAATTCTCCACCTATACTTTAATACACAGATATATTTCCCTGTTGCTGTTGTATCTTCAGAGTACAACAGTCACTTAATAAATACTTATAGAAGAAAATCAATACATGAAAATTATAATAGTATGTGATAGCAAAGCTAATATACCAAGATAAGCAAAAGTTATCTGCAAGGATTTTTTTATTTGAACTTGGTTTAGAGCCCTGGAAAACACAGTCAGTTGTATCAGAATGAGAATTATTCAAGTATGAGTAAAATCTAGTATTATATTAAACAGCAATTTATGTCTCATTTCTGGAAATAGAATACTAGGTAGTTTGGATCAGCTATCCTCCTGAGAACAACTGAAAATATGGGAAAATGTTAAAATATTTGTTTAAGACACCTAAGAGCTACCTAAAAGCAGTAAGAAATTAAGAGGCCAAGAGTGAGGACAAAAGAGACACTCAAAGAGGTTCTCTTGGTTCTACATCTCAGTATTTCTTTTGTCTGGACTCTCTTTACATTTCTGATGCCTAGAAAAATTATATAGCATTATATACATACACAATGCCAATGAAAGACCAAGTATGACATATTCAGACTATTCCTTCCAAGTACACAAAGAAGCTTCCTTAATTTTCTAGGTGGACCTTTTTCTTTTCCTTGCAGTGCAGAACCTGAGAAAGAAGATACCTACTAAGAAAGACTCCTGGTGGCTAGCTGGGCTCAGATTTTAGCAAACAGAGCCTAGCAGCTGTTTCCACACAGGGCCTTTCACGCAACTTGCACATACAGTAAGAAGTCTGTACTGAACTGCCTGGCCACACTGTGTTCCTGCCACCTGAGCGGCCCTTACAAAGGAGTTCCTGGAATTGTATTTCAACCAATTGGACTGGAATTTCCCTGTCCAATCAGAGCTGCAGTTGTATCCCCATCAGCACCCTCACCAACCAGTCAGAGCAGCTCCATTCTGACCAATGAAGACAGTACCTTTTAGACCAAAAAAAAAGTTTAGGATTTGGCACCTTCATTTGCATGAGGACAGACCAATTAGGGACCAGGAGTAGTGACTTCTCTCTGTGTAAGTCAGCTCCCCTCTGGTTCTGAGAGTGCACTTTCCCTTTCTACCACAGCCTGAAGACCATTTCCCCAGCTGAAGCTGAAACAATGAAGATGTCTTGCAGAACCAGAGTGGAGAAGAGCACGTGGATCAGGGCAGAACAGAGCAGAACTGTCTAACCAGAAAGGGGCCTCACCCCAGGACCACCTTGCCCCAGGGCCACCTCACTGTTCCACAGCTGTGCTGCTTCATAATTGTGTGGCAACACTGTTGAGCTGGTCTACAGTCTTGCTGTTCTCACAGCTGTGCTGTATCACAATTGAGTTATTTGCAATGAATAAAGTTTCCTTCTTCACTGTACCCCATACGAGGGTTCCCGTTGGCATTGAATCAGTGCCAACAACCATCAATTGACAGCAGTACATTGGTTAAAGTCTGAAATAAATCCTGACATTAATTTGTAGCAATAAAATACAGCTCAAGAAAAGTCTTTCTTTAAAAGTTCAGAATTATACTTACTATCTGTAATCAACATGTGCAGTATTACAATAAGTGGTCTATATACAAGAATATTCTGGATGCTTATCTAGTATATTATAACTTATAACCACTATGAAATATACCTTTTTTTGACAAAGCTGACTTTTAATATAGACTGAATAACCTAAGATAAATCTGAAGTAATGCCTTAAAACTCCAAATTGAAAGTTTGAAGTAGTTATGATGGTTACCTTTCTGGTTTTTTAATATCACATGACTTGTTTTCTGTGCTCTTTGATACTGTCATGGATGTGGATTTGGCAATAATAGCCTCTTCAGATTCCAACTGAAAATCAAATGTTAGGGGTGCCACAGGAGTCTTTTTCTTTATGAAACCCTGAAGACTGTTTTTCTGCAACAAAACATATAAAAACAACTGTAAGCAGGCATGAGAAAACCAGCAGAGCAGGACCACAATCCCTGAAAAAAGGGAAAAAAACGCAGCAAAGCCTACTGCAGCCCAGCGTACTTCCTGGAGGCTTCCAGCGAGCTTCCAGTCTCCAGGCTGAGGCACAACAAGGGGGAACTCGAACCAAACCATGTGGCCTCAGCCTTGTTGAGTTTCAGAGACGGAGACTGCACCAGCAACCACACTGTTGGGCATTCACTTCAGAGAAGTGTTTATTCAAAAACCTGTACACAAATATTCATAGCAACTTTATTTTGTCTTATTTTTTTAGCAGCTTTATTTTTAAAAGCAAGATACTGCAAACAACCAAATGCCCTTCAATGGGTGAGTGATTGAAACTGTATATTCACATTATGGAATACTATTCAGCAGTAAAATTTATATAATATTTATAATGATAAAACTATTGATTCCTATAAGATCTTAGATGGACCTCAAGGGCATTATGCTTAGTGAAAAATCAATGTCAAAAAATTACATACTGAATGATGCCATTTATATAAAATTGTCCAACTTATAAAACTATTATAGAGATGGAGATCAGATTAGCCATTGTCAGGGACAGAAATGAGGGATGAGGTGGAGACATGGATACCAATACAAGGAAATAACGTAAAGGAGTTCTTTTATGGGGATGGAAATGTGCTGTATCTTGATAAAATTGCATGAAACTCAATATACAAATGACCAAATGAATGCAGGTTAAAAATTGTAAAAACTGAATCAAGTCTGTACTCTGATTAACAGTCATATGCCAATGTTGTGGATATCAGTTATGGCTCATACTGGTTTTGATATTACACAATTTTACCCCATTACCGATGTGTGTAACCAGCATCACAGTCGAGCTACAGCCCTGTATAATGTGTCCGCAGTGGGAGCAACTGGGGGAAAGGCATGTGGGGCTTTTTATGCTGTTTCTGTAACTTCCTATAAGTCTATCATTAATTCAAAATTTAAAAAGTATTTAAAAATTTAAAAATCGATTTCCAAACTGGTTTACATATTGTTAGCTCCTTTTTTGGTCATTAACAAAGCAAATAGAGGCATTCTACCTTCATAAATATGTTCATTCACTTGAGTTCCTCTCTGTGGTGTCTTCCTTGATTTCTCAGACTGCGTGCTCTTATCTACACCTTATTCATTCACACTGTAATACATTTCACAAGTCTTTGTGTAACCAAATTAAATTTGTGCTCATGTGTGTTAAAAACCTGGTTTCCAAGGACTGTATTTCTCAGTGAACAATTATTTATTGTTCATTATTCTTCATTTATTGAACTTTATAGGAGTCTTACCTTTTTACTTTAATTAATTTCTATGAACTTTAGTTATTTCTAGTTTGGTAAGTATGCCAAATATTTTTTTCTTTTTAATAAACCAAGTAAATACATTTTAATATGTTTAACATGTCAGTAAGAACAATAGTTGTAGTCACAGTTACTATTTGACTACCTAGGATTTTTTTAAAAAGATTTTATTTATTTATTTTTAGAGAGGGAAGGGAGGGAGAGAGCGAGAGAGAAACATCAATGTGCGGTTGCTGGGGACCATGGCCTGCAACCCAGGCATGTGTCCTGACTGGGAATTGAACCTGCGATGCTTTGGTTCATAGCCCATGCTCAATCCACTGAGCTACACCAGCCAGGGCTCCTACCTAAAATTTTTAAAAATTGTAAGCAGTTTAAATACATCATAACCTAATATGGTAACTATCTAGAAGTTACCTTATATCTAATTAATTCTTTATATTACCCACTTACATAGATGATTTTTTCAATTAATATACTTATTAAAAATTAATTTATATCTTCATAATAACTAAAAAATAAAATAATCATTCACATTTGAAATGACAACTTTTAATAATTAAATTAAATTTTAGCTTTTATTTCACAAACCTTTATTCTTCTGGCCAAGAGTATCTTTGCATACTCATTTAGATCATCTAACTTCTCTATAATTTTTTCTGCCATTGTCAATCAGTAAATTCCTATTTATAAAGGAGAAAAATAAATATTTAAAACAATTTAAACATATAATTGATTATTTAGGCATAAGTTAAAAGACATCTTTATATTACTGTTTTAGGTAAAAAATCAAACTATAAAGATCATTGAATATATCATAGAATTATAGAGGTCCAAGCTTTTTAGACAGAAAGTCTCATGATCAGAACTCCCAGCTGTGTGAAGGCCCCAGGCATTTTTAAATGTATGATAAAGATGAATTGAAGAAAGTTCAAGATTACCATATGAGAACCAGACATGACTCATATTTGAAGCATACTTGAAAAATATGCAATTTGATTTATATCTATATTATTTTATTAAGATATGATTTTAATAAAAGTGTGGAAAGCTCACATTTATATAATCAACTGTATTAAAAGTATATTGAGCAATGATCTAAGACTGTTAATATGGCACTTAGAAGGCAATCAGTCACATGGAAGGAGCAGCAGCCAAACTGGTTAGGTCCTATTGCCATAGTAATAGTTCATACTTTCTAGTTAATTAATATTGCTGAAAATTTCATCTGGGATCAGATGATCCATATTAGGCTTGGGGAACTGAATGTTAGACATCAGGACCTAGTCTAATTTATTTCCATTTTCATACCAAAAAGATTAAAAGCCACCAAGTACCTTTTTAATGTAATGTAGACTGCTGGGGCAGAGTAGAAGGATCAAAATATGAACCTAAAGCTTCTTCTAGTCAATTTATTTTTACAATTGAGGACATAATTATTCATTACATGTACGTTTTCTCAGTCAATTGAATGGCTTCCACTGGCATTTAAGTGTAAAAATCATATGGTTCATAGAAAGTATTAAATTCATCAGTTTCTAAAGACCATCAATGTCCACACTTTTTTCTAGCTCAAAAATTTCTCTATTTCTCTCATATGTTATTCAATCAATATCACACAAAGATGATGATACATGAAAAGACAAGGATTTAGGATCCCATATCAAAAGCTCACATTATTTTTTTTAACTTGGTTTCTTTTAGCTCTCTTTTCTATTCTCTTTCCTTCACCATATGTTGCCCTGGTGGTAAATTCCTGGTGCTCTGATAGTGCCTTCCCATTCCAGCAAGCTCTCTGCCATTCTGCTATATCCAGATACTCTACTTCTAACCCATGATGTAATTCTATGTGGCAAAGAACTTTTCTGGGCCATGAGGCTGTAGCAGGATAGCATATCCTATTATAAACCACATAACCTTAGGTTGCAGGTTGGAAGGAGAGATGCAAGAAGCATGTTAGCACACTGTGAATGCCTCAGACTCTCTGGGTCTCTTACAGGAAAGTAGGGGACAGGTTTTGGAAGAATGCAGATTATCTGAACATTGTATGTAATTGTCTTTTCAGACCCGGGAACCAGCCCTCTCATATATTCTAAAAACAACTGAAGAAATTTTAGTTTTGGTGTTTCCCTTAAACACATATGAGTTTAGAGATGTTGACAAGGATCCTAAATTTTTTCACTATTTTTTTTATTAGGGGCAAAAATTTCTATTTTTCAGTGAGAGATAGAATGCTAAATAACTGGAAGAACAAGCATATGAAAGTGAATGAATTCCCCAACTTTGGGAAGGTATAAGTTATATTAGAAACAACTGGGACACACTGTTTACTTGTTGAGGAGAATAGAAGGCAGGTCTTTTTAAAGAATATAAGGTCCTAAACCTCTTATTTCAATAAATCAGACATTTTAATATGTGACACATCACCCCATTTCACACACACACATGAGTTATGATTTTATGTTCTTGATTTAAACTTATTTTGCTATGAGTAAATTATTTAGCTATCATAAGATTTCTGAAAAATCACTGTGCATATCATGAATTTCTTTTGAAGTGAGAAAAACTAACCAATTATTTTTAAGGGTCAATGACAACTTTGTGAATACCAAATTTGACAGTTTATGAAATTGACAGGTTGCTATTAGTTTTAGTTTTACAGTTTTATTTTCATATTCTGGAACCGCTACACTTTTTTTTTTTAGTTTTTTGAGTGTTTTCATAGGTTTTTGAAAATGTGTCCATGCTTCCTAATGGATGAATGGCCCTGGAAGAAAGTGGAGATGAGGAAACCCCACAGCCTATCTTGCTTGCTTTTATCATTATACCAAGGGTACCAAGGGCCTAGCTTGTGTTACTTCAAATAAATGCTGAGAGCAAAGGAAAGTCAGGTCCAACATGGTGGTGTATCCAAACTGTTTTGCATGAACTAAAAACTAATCCTTTAATGCAAAATGTATCAAGACTATGTTAAATGTTCCTCAATAAGGCCTTATGTATTTCAGTCTTCTCTTGATGCAATCTTTAATTTTAATATCTACTGTAAACCAGCATATTTCATACTTTGATTTCACTTTTTATTTCTATGGGTATATATTTTACTTCATTCTATTCTTGTGAGCATATATTATCACTTAAAGGTGAACATTTATTTGTTTGCTTGGCTACTGGCTACCTAAATGTATTGAATATTACATGGAAGACATTGTACTAGGTATTTTATCAAATTTACTGAGGAAGTTGTTGCCTGGCAGACAATTTTCTTTGTGACCCCCATCTTCCTAGGCAAGGCAGATGGTCTCTTCCATTTCACTAAGAAAATAGAAACTATCAGGAAAAAACTTCTTTGGCTTCTACCTCTAATATCAGCGTCTCATTTGTGTCCATTTCTGTCTTGCCTATATTTTAATTTTAATGGAAGTATTGTCTTTCTCAACCAAAGCTAATCCCTCCCAATATACTTTAGATTCTCCTCACTCTGGCCTCCTTAAAGAGTTACTTTCATTGGTTATCCTCTCTCTTATAAGGTTCATCTCTTTTCATCACCGATTTCTTCTCCTTAACATGCTCAAGTCTCTTTCATTAAAAAAAAAAAAATTCTTGCCTTGGCTGGTGTGGCTCAGTGGGGTGAGCATCAGCCTGTGAACCAAAGCATCATTGGTTAGATTCCCAGTCAGGGCACATGCCTGGGTTGTGGGTCAGCTTCCTGGTTGGGGGCATGTGAGAGACAACTGATTGATGTTTCTCTCCCTCTTTCTCCCTTCCTTCCCTTCTCTCTAAAAAATAAAAATTTAGAATAAAAAAATAAAAAAATTCTTTCCCTGACCCTACTAGCCATTATTCTTGCTCATCTTCCCTTTATTGCCAAATTTCTTAATAGCAGCTTATACTTGGGCTTTCTAAGTTTTTACACACCTTCTCCTTTTCAACTCACCATTACCATTCCTCCTAAACCATACACTAAATCTGCTCTCATAGGTCACCAGGGTCACCATTTTATGTATTAGTAGATACTTTTCTGCTCTCATTTACCCTACTTGAATGCTTGCAACTTTTGCTAATGTTGACAACTCCTTTCTATTCTATAGAAATAGAAATGAATAGAATGATCCATTCTATCCTTCATGTTTTTCCAAATTACTTTTAAAAAATACATTCACATGTCTCTCTGACTGAAGCTTCAACCCCTACCTACAGTGTTCAGGACAAAGGCCAAGCTTCTTGATTTATTATTAAAGTCTCATGATTTTGCCTCTAAGTCTTTAACCTCACCTGCCTCTTCCTCATGTATACCAGATGTTCTAATTTTAATGAACAAACTGCAGTTCCTCAAATGTGTTACATCTTCCTTCACTGTTGTTTTTGTCTTGGCTGTTCCCTCTGCCTACAATGCTGTATGTAAGTCCTATTTATCCTTTAAGACCTAACATAAATATAATACTTTTGTTGGGAAATTTTCCCTCATACACTATGATTTAAATGTCCAGTGTCTGTGCTTACATGACAGGCTATATATACTGCTATTCTGCAATTTATCACACTCTTTTGAAGCATTTCATATACTTGTTTTATTCCCTCTCTATACTACATGTTTTTTTGAAGGTAGAAACCACATCTAATTCATCTTTGCATCCCTAATACCTAACAACCTGAATGAATTAATTATCAGCAATAAAGGAAATGGACCCTTGTAAATGTTATGATTGCTTTTAGCTTGCATTTATATTTATGAGAATAAACAAATCTTTGACAGAGTCCTGTTGAGGTCCTTCTAGATCAAATCATAGTATTAAAAAACATTACTTTCTCTCCCATCATCAAGCAGCATAGTGTACTGGATAGGAACATAAAGTTTGAAGTCAGGATACCTGGTTTTGAATCCTTGGCTCTGCTACTTACCAGCTGTGTAACTGTGGGCTAATTGCTTAACCTCCCCATTGCCTCATCTGTAAAATGGGAATAATAAAAGTACCTGTCTTTATGGGATTGTTATGAGGTTTAATTGAGTGAACATAAATGATATATAAATGTTTGGCAAATAAAAGAAATAAATACAAGTAATGATATACTTACCAGTTAGGGATAAGATATCTGTGATTATCTATAAGGGCTCCAAAATACATGTTCTCCATTTGTATATCATTTTGTTTTTGTCTACCTGCCACCATGCAATCGCCAATGGTGTCCATATATGTGATGGCCTACTTACTTCTTTCACAGTATATTTCTACAATTACTCTAAATCCTTGCAACTTTAGGAAACTATGAGAATTTATTCAGCAAGTCAGTATCTTCTATTTTAATATGGCAATTCAGTATTTTCTGATTATCTTGTTTCCTTTTTTAATTTTTTCATAGTTTTACTTCTCAATTATATATTAAATTCTTATTCTGAGTTAAGTGAACAGAAACTAAAACTTATTGTCCTATAGAACACAAGTATAGGCCTCCTATTCAGGGAGACTACTCTGGTAAGCATTACTGTGTCTCCATACTGGAAACTCATAAAAAACAAACAAACAAAATTAGTTTGTGCTCTAGTACATAGATCTCATCATCCCCCTTGCAAAAGATATGATAACCAAAGTGGGAGAGATGGTCTCACTTCTTAAATATGTAGAAATACATCTGAAGCATTCTCATATGTACTTACAGTTGGAGGAAAT